GATGGAGGGGGCGGGCTTGGTGGCGGAGGAGTGGGGGGCGGCGAAGATGGCGGTGGCTGCCATGGTGGAGGAGGGGAGTGAGGTGGAGACGAGGGTGGCGAGGGCGGCGGCGGAGATGGCGGCGGCGGCATCGGCGGCGACGAGGGAGGAGGCGGTGAGGGCGGCGGGGGCGACGGAGGAGGCGGCGAAGGAGGGGGCGGAGAGGGCGGCGGCGGAGAGGGCGGCGGCGGAGACGGAGGAGGCGGCGAGAAGGGAGGCGATGGAGGTAGTGGAGGTGACGACGGGGGCGGCGGCGGCGGCGGCATCGGCTGGCCCGTCGCGCAGTAGTTCTGATAGGTTGTGCCGGTCTTGGTCAGCTGGTACATGTAGGTCATCGTCGCTCCCTGGTCGTACGAGCACGTGCAGGTGGGCACGTCCTCGGGCGATAAGCTGACGCTGTTGTAGCAATTGGCGACGCCGTTCTTGATACAGGAAGCGCCGCAGTTCCGGTAGAAGCCGCAGAGCTGGGCGGTGGACGGCGCCTCCCCCATGACCGGCATCGGCGAGCTGTTCCACGTCCGCCAAGTGGCGCCGCAGTTGTAGGAGCTGGTTTCGAGGCCGTCGGAGGTCGCCATCATGCGACTCGGGTTGCCGCTGGAGTCCTCGAACCTGTACCACGTCGGGGTGCTGGAGACGTAGTAGTCCTGGGCAGACAAAGAGGTATAGGTGTGGAGACGGCGCGTGTCCTCGAGCACCGTCGAGTCGCTAAGCGACTGCGGGCAGTCCGCGTGGCAGTAGCCGTTGGGGGCGACCGGCGGCGGGGAGGGCGGCGGTGGCGACGGCGGCGGCGGCGACGGCGGCGGCGGAGACGGCGGCGGCGAGGGCGGAGGCGACGGTGGAGGCGGCGAGGGAGGGATGGAGGGCGGAAAGGGCGGCGGCGGCGGCGGCATCGGCTGGCCCGTCGCGCAGTAGTTCTGATAGGTTGTGCCGGTCTTGGTCAGCTGGTACATGTAGGTCATCGTCGCTCCCTGGTCGTACGAGCACGTGCAGGTGGGCACGTCCTCGGGCGATAAGCTGACGCTGTTGTAGCAATTGGCGACGCCGTTCTTGATACAGGAAGCGCCGCAGTTCCGGTAGAAGCCGCAGAGCTGGGCGGTGGACGGCGCCTCCCCCATGACCGGCATCGGCGAGCTGTTCCACGTCCGCCAAGTGGCGCCGCAGTTGTAGGAGCTGGTTTCGAGGCCGTCGGAGGTCGCCATCATGCGACTCGGGTTGCCGCTGGAGTCCTCGAACCTGTACCACGTCGGGGTGCTGGAGACGTAGTAGTCCTGGGCAGACAAAGAGGTATAGGTGTGGAGACGGCGCGTGTCCTCGAGCACCGTCGAGTCGCTCAGCGACTGCGGGCAGTCCGCGTGGCAGTACTGACTTGGCATGTAAGGCGGCGGGGAGGGTGGCGGCGGGGAGGGCGGCGGCGGGGAGGGCGGCGGCGGAGACGGCGGCGGCGAAGGCGGCGGCGAGGACGGCGGGGGCGATGGTGGAGGCGGTGACGGCGGCGGTGGAGACGGCGGTGGTGGCGACGGCGGAGGAGGCGATGGCGGTGGTGGCGACGGCGGTGGCGGCGACGGCGGCGGTGGTGATGGCGGGGGCTCTGGCGGCGGTGGCGACGGCGGAGGGGGCGAGGGTGGTGGAGGTGAGGGCGGCGGCGGCGATGGTGGCGGTGGCGCTGGCGGCGGTGAGGGCGGAGGCGGTGAGGGCGGAGGAGGGCTGGGGGGCGGAGGAGAGGGCGGTGGTGGCGAGGGCGGCGGCGGTGAGGGCGGCGGCGGCGAGGGCGGCGGTGGCGAGGGCGGCGGTGACGGTGGCGGGGGTAAGGGAGGAGGTGGCGTGGGTGGAGGTGGCGAGGGCGGCGGCGGTGACGGGGGTGGCGATGGCGGCGACTTGCACGGTATTTCAATGGCCGAGGCAGCGTCCAACTGAGGCAGCAAAGGGAGGAGACGGGTGAGACACAGGGAGTTGCGGGAGATTGGTCGAAATTATCACGGGCCTGCGTCCAGTGAGACCCTTGATCAAGCGAGACCTGCACCTGCACCTGCGCCGAATTGTCCTCTCCCGACCGGTCGGACGCCGCGCTCGACGAGCTGCATCGCACGACGGAGGTTGAGATCTGCTCTGCAGTCATCGAGCTCTGGCTGCCACCGTCGGTGAGGCGGCAGGCCAGATTGCCTACATGCGCACATGGCGGAGCGGTGAGCAGCACACCACACTGCAGATCGCGTCGTCTTGGCGCCTGTGCCTGTGTCCGCAAAGCCCGTCCCCACCGCCTCGACCGACACGACCTCGTGGCAAAACGAGTTGTGCAGGCAGAGGTAATGGACCTGGTGCATGCAGGCGGGCGATTTTGCAGTGAGAGGCGCGGGGCGCACAGGGGGCGCTCGAGCTTGCTCGCCTCGATGCAAGCCTCGTCGACGATGCTCGGAATGACCGCTTGCGCAGCGGCGACGTCAGCGAGCCCCACCCAGGCGTAGCTGCTGCTCGGCGTGGACGCCCACGCCGTCATCAGCGCCACGTCTGCGTCGCCAAAGCCGATTGTAACCAAGGTGATGCCCTGCGACTTGATGCTGTTAGCCTCGTCGGTGACGGTCGCGTCGGTGCCGCCCACCGTCTGCCTCCCGTCGGTGAGCAGAACGAGCACTGGGGGGGCGGTGGCAGCGCCCCGCGGAGCCGCTGTCGCGAGGTCCTTGGCAGCCGAGAGGCCGCAAGATATGCAGGTCGTGCCGTACGAGCCATCCCGCGCATTGATCGCAGCAACGACGCTCGACGCGTCGTCGCTAATCGGGCTGACAACCTTTGCAGCGTTATCGATGTCGCACGCGGGTGTGGACGCGTTCACGCCGTTGCAGTAGAAGCCTGCAGAGGGTGGCAGAGGGTGGGCCCGTGAGCAGTGGGCGGAGTGGGCGAGCCGGTTCAGGGCATGAAGCTGTGTGTGGAGGCGGAGACGTGTGCCGCACTCGAAGGCCCGTTGAAGGTCACGATGCCGACGCGAGCCCCCTGTGCGGACAGCGAGAGCTCCCCCACAAAGTCGAGCATCAGCTGCGTCAGATCGCCGTGGATGTCATTGACGCTCGCCGAGTTGTCCACCACGAGCACAAAGTCTTGCGCTGACTCGCAGGCGGTGGGTGCCGGCACGGCAGTGCACCCGACCGCTCGAGGCTCCACTGGCGGGAGCGGCAGCGACGGCGGTGGCGGGGAGGAAGGCGGCGAGGGCGGCTGAAAGGGAGGCGGCGGCGAAGGCGGCGGCGGCGAGGGCGGAGGCGGCCAGGGAGCCGCCACCGCTGCTGAAATTGACAGGAGGAGGAGCAAGCCTGTCGCCGGTAGCATGCCGGACGACGGCCGCCCGGCGCGCGGCGGACGCCGCGTGCGAGCGGAGGCGGCCAAGATGGCAGATACTCGCGCGGCGGTCGACAAAAGGCGGCGCCCGCAACAGTTGGACTAACGGACGCGCGCACGTCTTGAGCACTTGAGCACTGCTGGATAGGGTCGGTTCCGCATGGTACGGGACCCCTCGATCGTCTCGCCCACCCTCACTGGTATGTTCATTGGGGGGGGTCATAACGCACGTCTTGCGACGTACAAGTCCGCATGATTTTCGACCGACCGCAGCGAAACGCAGGGGCGGCTCCCCCCCGACCGAGCTGCGAAGAAACAACGGCGTCCACACCGGCCAGAAGCCCCCAAATTTTCTTCGGCGCTGCGCGCCGTTGCAGTCGAGTGTAGGTGCATGCACATGTGTACATGTGCATGTGTGTTGCAGCCCAGATAGCTATCGTGCCGCGGAATAGGTCCATCCATGTCCATGTGGTTAGAAAAAATGCTCGCCCGAAAGCGCCCGCCGGTGTGTGTGAGATACAGCGCTACAAGTTTGGACGCATCCGACACACGGGCAGGGTTTCGCGCTTAGCAGCTGGCCAACGGTGATGTGCACGCCGTCGCGTCGCCGACGGCTCGTGCTGCTGCGTATGATAGCAATCCAATTTTAGGGCATCTACAAGCCCGGGATGCGGATGGACATACCATCGCTGAATATATCAATATATTGAGCCCCCCTTAGCCAATCCAGGCCCTGGTCCCTCTAACTAGGCCGAGCGTTTTTGATCTCTGGGTGAGTGGGCGCCCGCCCGCCGCCTCTGAGGGGGTCGGGCCCCCTAGACTGAAAACAAAAACAAGCTCGAAAACAGCCAAAATCAGCCTGCGAGAGTCTGCCCGAGAGAGAGAGGCACTGCGCGCCGCTGACCTCATGTGGGGATGTGTGCCGACACCATATACTGATCTAAAACCTGGAAACCCTTGTTCAAAGAAGACCCTAAGCGCCATCCTTCCTGCTCTCACCTGATCGCTGATGCTGCTTCCCCGCGCCGCCTCCTTGGCCCCCTTGGGCGTATTTTCTACTCCCAGTGGGGGGACCGGGCCCCGGGCCCCCTCTTGTTTTCTGTTTTCTGTTTTTCAAAACGCCCGCCCGCCCGCCACCCCGAGGCGGCTCGGCCCCCCACTCACCCAGAGATCAAAAACGCTCGGCCCTATTGACATATATATTGATATTGATCGCACCTCTAACTATTGGAGAGCAATATATATGTTCAATATTTCCCGTGGTCCTTTTTATCTCATCCATAGCCGTTTAGTTTTAAGTTTAGTTTTTCCACTATTGCGCTTTCGTTCATCCCAAACGACGAGAAAACGTGCAACGATCTCTTCGAGCGAGTTCTACAGGAGACACTCACCCCGGATGGGCCGCCACATACACGACATGCAAACGACGCAACATGCACAGGCCATGCAGCGTGTGTCCTCGGTCCAAGCACCAAGGGGTGTCGCTCCCGGCCTCTTGGTGTGCTTGCCGAGGCGCCCACCACACTGCCACCACGAAGCTCAGAGAGAGGCGCGCCGCCCGCTCCACGCTGGGTGTCGCCTCTCCCGCTGAGTCGTCGCGACCTAGGTCGCCACTAGTGAACCGAACTGTCCCCCCACTACTCTTTGACCACGCGCGGCGACGACACCGACCTCACCATGCGATGGAAGAAGCCCGCCTTCTTCATCTTCTCCGACGCGTCGTCCTGCCGCGCCTTCTCCTGCCGCAGCTTCTCCTCGATCTGAGACGTCACGTCCGGCGTTGCCGTGCGCGGCTCCTGCCCAATCACCCGCGGCGGCTCCTCCACATCGAGCGCGTCTCGCGCGGTGCCGCCGGGTGGCACGTGGAGGCGCAGCTGCTTGGGATTGGCCAGCCGGCGGCGGCCGGCGGCGGCCGCGTGCGGATCTGCGGCGGCCTCCGCCTTGCCCGCCGGGGCAACGGGGGGGGCTCCGCCGCCCCCTGCCGCCGCCGCCGCCTCCACCTCCAGCGTGCCGACGTCGGCGACGTCGGGCGCCGCCTCGCCCTCAATCGACGTCTTGCCGCTGCCGCGGCGCCGCGACTCCGACTGGTTTGCGTCGACGGGAGCGAGGGGCTCCGCCTTCGAAACGGCAACTTCCACGGCGGTCTCGGCGAGCCTGCGCCGCAAGCCGTTGATGCCATCGCGCAATTCGTCGTTTGTCTGCGTGACGTCGAGCGCCTTCAGCGCGCCCTCCATCTTCAGACCGCGGTCGGGCGTCGCCACCTCAAGCAAGCGCGATGCCGCCTCGCCCGCGCCCGCGAGCGTCGCGTCCGGCATCGGCGCCGGCAGCAGGACCGCGGCCGACGCCTTGGGCCCCTCGGGCGCCTTGGGCCCCTCCGGCGCGCGCCTCCCCTTCCGGGAGAGCCGGTCGATGAGAGGCTCCTTGTTTCGCTCCTTGAGCGCATCCGACTCAGGCGTCAAGCCCGCGGCGGGCTCGAGCGCGGCCGCCGAGCGGCAGATGGCGCTCGGGCTCGGACGGCGCGCGACCGAGGAGCGGCGCGAACGGCGCGTGGCCATCCCTGGCTCCATTTCCACCGCGTCAAACATGCCCGACGTGGCCGCTGCCGCCGTGGAGACGCGTGACGGCCGGCGCAGCGGTCGCGCCTCGTCCGTCTCCATCCAGTCTTCGTCGGACGTCTCCCCCACAGCATCCGACTCGGACTCCGACTCGTCCGACTCGTCCGACTCGGACTCGGGCATCTCGCGGGTCCGCCTCCGAGCCTGGTGCGCGCGCTCGAGGATTCGCATCTGCATCTTCTCCTCCTCCTCCTCTGAGCCGCGACGTGCCGGCGCCGGCGCCGGCGGCGCGCGTGCAGCGGTCGCCACCTGCGCCTGGAGCGCAGCGTTGGCCTCCTGCAGCGCCTTGATCTCTGCTGCGTCGCGCGCGGCCTGTCGCCTGCCCTCTGAACGCTCCCGCATCAGCTGCAGCCTCACGGTGTTGGTGGTGTCGCGCGCCGCCTGAGTGGGCCGGGGCGGGAGACGTCACAGTGCGTCCGCGGAGACGTGTGCTCTACGAGCCGGAGATGTGTTGGTGGAGCCGCGCGCAGCTACAGCTACAGGGGAGAGGCCACGGGCATGGGCACAGGTTCGTGCCTGGAGGCCCTCCTCCTTGTGCGCGAGCTGCGCCTTGCCGGCGTGCAGCGCCGTGAAAGCCTACACGCTGATTACGCCAACCTCAAGGCGGGAGTACGGTATTGTGCAGTGTACTCAGAGCACCGCGTGAATACACACGGGCTACGAATACAATGGATACAGCGGAGTACGGTAGAATGCAGTTGACTTCGTGTCCTCTCGTTGGAAAACAAGGATACGCATTCCGCTTCTGGGGGTGAGGGCCTGGACACTCTGGTCGAACGCGCAGTGCAGCAGCGACCTCGCGAGCTGCAGCTGCGAGATCGTCTCGATCTTGACGTGCGCGAGGTCTGTGGGAGGGGTGCCGGATGAGGTCAATGAACGACGCTACCACTGCGGAGTTGGCGACTCCCGTCGGTCGTGTCGGCGTGCGTGAGGGCGGCACTGTGAGGGCGGCACTGGAGGCGGCGCCCGAGGTCTCATGGGTCTAGCAAACCATAAACCAAAGCGGCGGAGGGGAGAGGTGCAGTGGATGGACATATGTCGAGTGTGTCGAGAGGCAGGTGGGCGCATCGCCCGCACTCACCGTCCTTTGCCGAGAGCTTCTGGTTGTGCTCGCAGATCTCGCGGTTGAGCGCCTGTTTGCAGGCGCAACATGGCGGCCACAGTCGTGGGTGCGCTGTGCCGAACACACCCAGTGGCAGCGGAGCGGAGCGCACCTCGCGGCGAGCCTTGAGCTCCTCGAGCTCACGCGGCGTGTTTTCCGACGCTGCGCCCTCCTTGAGCTGGCTCTCCTGCAGTTGCCACGGGCAATCGAGTGAGTGCGGGTGAGGAGAGGAAGGGGGCTGTGCGCGCGCGCTGTGTACGCCTCGCCATCACCTCTCAGTCGCCTCCCGCCCACCACACAGGCGACTTATGTTTTGATGTTGGATTCCACCCGAGAGGATGCTCCGGGTGCGTCTTGCGGTTCTCTCCCTGTCCCTCTGCCTGTCATGTGCATGTCTGCTGCTGCCTGTCGTGTGTGATGTCGGTCGTCTGGGGGGTGGGGTGGGGTGGGGTGGGGTGCTCCTTGGCGACAATGTCAAGGTTGCACCGGCGGCGCTCCTCGACGAGCACCTCTTTGGAGTCGCGCAGCTTTTGGTGGTCCACCGCGACGCTCACTTGCTCCGTGAACCACTCCTTGGCCTACAACATGTGTAGGAAGTGTCTAGGAAGTATCTAGGGAGGACTTGCTCCGTGAACCACTCCTTGGCCTACGCGCTGAGTGCACCAGCCTCGGGGCGGGAAGCACGGTCTCGTGCAGAGTCTTCCAGAGTACCGTGTGAATACGAGCGACACGAGTACAGCCGAATACGGTCGAGTACAGCGGAATACGTGTCCTCTCGAGCGCTGGTTGGAGTACAAGGATGCGTCCTTCCGCTTCTAGGCCGCTTTGCCGGCCGTCCGTTGACCGACTTCGTGTCGCCGTGCCCGCGCCGCTCAAACGAGGGCGCCTGCCGCGCCTGGAGGATGAGACGTGCGACATGAGCGTGCTTGGCCACCAGGGGCGCTCTCGCAGCGTGGCATGCACCGTGGACACGGTGTGGGCGTGTGGACTGCCGTGGCTTCCAATGTGGGGACATGGGTGGGCTGCTGCTGCTGCTGCTGCTGCTGCTGCTGCTGCTGCTGCTGCACCACCTGCGCGGCCATCGTCGTCTTGCGGGCCACATTGGGCAGGTTCTGGTCGATAGCCGTCACCTGCAACAGGGAGCCGGAGGAGCCGGGCTCAGGAGCCCCTCCAACCCCTCGCGGATAGCCTGGCCGTGATCTTTGACGGACCTTGCCCGGTGCTCCCCACGCGGGGCGGCTGACTAGCGGCGCTCCGCCGCCCCGAGGAGCCTCGGGTGCGGCGCCCAGCCGGCCGTGCTGCCCGCGCTTGTGCAGCGCAATGACCTCCTCGTTCTTGCGCTTGAGCACGGCGCCCTGCCTTGCGTGGTCCTGCTGCAGCCGGTCCAGCTGCGCCGCCGTCCTCTCCCCCTTGCGGCGCAGATTGGCCAGCTCGCGCTCGCGCGCCTGGCAGCAGTGGCGGCAACGGCGGTGGTCAACGGCGCCGGCTCGGAGCGGCAAGTGGCGACGGCGGCGGCGGGTGAAGGAAGAAGGTGGCGGCATGGGCCCGGGGCTCCCCCCCCCCGCGGCCCAGACCCCAACTTCGCGTTGCCGCTAGGGCTGCCATGAGTTCGCTAGGGTTGTATGTGCGCTGGCAACAGCGGAGCTCGCTGGGCGCTCGCAAGTTAGATCGGGGCGCCTGGTGCTGCGCGCGGTGCGAGTCCGCCTCGTCGCGCATTCGGCGCGTGAGCGCCACCTTTTGCGCCTTGATCGTGCTGATCTCCTGTCCGAGCTCCTGCAGACAAGAGGGGCCGCCGAAGAGTTTGTTGGAAGGGGAAGGGGGAAAGGGGAAAGGGGAAGGGGGGAGAAAGGTA